TACAATAGAACATAATAATTTACCATTAAATACAAAAATACAAAAAATACACTGAGTTACAAATATAAAATTAAAATTATCAGTATAAAATAAGTAAATAAAAATATAGGAGGAGAAAAGAGAAGGAAGAAGAAGTTGCCCTGGCCAGATCATATGTTTTAACAATTAAAATGATGTTTAAATAAGAAGGTCTTTACCTGGTGCCGAAAAACCAGTAATGACGGTGCCAGGCGGACCTCTTTGGGGAGCGAATTCCATAGGTTGGGCGCCCTACCACCGGCTTCAACAACCCAGTCCATAGATAGGGAGTTTTGAAAGCTGTGCAAAAGGAGCATATTGTTGTTCTGCTTCCTTAGAGGACTCATCAGTTATCCCACTAGGTGTTGTTCCCTGATAGATCTGTAACAACAGGTTTCTCTGCAGCACAGAGCGGGTGTTGGCCTTCCCGCTGGAGATGGTGGGGGTTGGGCACCCAACTTATCTGGAGGGCTCTGGGTTCAAGAAGGTCCAGTCGGTTTCAAATGTGCACCCTGCAAAGCGCTCTGGGAGGGTCGTTCTTCAAGGGTGATGAGTTCTCATCCCATCACAAGATTGCAACAGCCTTGGAACTGGGATCTTGTGTAAAACATGCGGATGTGAGCCCAGTTCTGTTGCTGTAAAAGCCACCCATCTGGGAGCCGCTCCCACCGGGCTCAGTGGGGCTTGCTTGCAGTGGGCACGCGTAGATGGCAAAGCTTGTTTGCCTGCTGGTGGCGAGCAGTGGGGCCAACTGGGCAATGCCCTCCCGTGATTTGCAGGTGCGGGGGGGAGGGAGGGCATGCCTGCCCTATAACTGTTGCCAGTCACCCATAGGGAGGAGGAAACATTTGGATGCTGCCTATGAATGAAAACTCCAACGTGCCTAGGCCCAGTTTGCACAAAATATTTTTGCGTTGGGGGAGGGGAGGAAATCTGGCAATTGGCTGCATACGCATATTGCTCATCTGGAATCCTACGTCCAGTTCTGGGCACCAAGATTTAAGAAAGATGCAGGAAAATTGGAAAGGGTCCAGAGGAGGGCAACAAAAATGATCCATGGTTTGGAAACACTGCCCTATGAGGAGAGACTGAGAAAACTGGGCATGTTCAGCCTTGAGAAGACTGGGGGAAGGTGGGGCATGATAGTCCTCTTTAAGCACCTGAAAGACTGTCAGAAAGAGAAAGGTCAAGATCTCTTGACCAGAGTGTAGGACACGGAATAATCAAGTCAAGTTGCGACAACCCAGATTCAGGCTGGACATCAGGAAGAGCTTCCTCACTGTCAGAGCAATGCGACAGTGGAACCAGCTGCCTGGAGAGGTGGTGGGCTCTCCCACACTAGAGACATTCAAAAGGAAACTGGACAGCCATCTGAGTGGGATGGTGTAACTTGGTGTCCTGCAACAGCAGGGGGTTGGACCAGATGGCCTTCATGCATGACCCCTTTCAACTCTACTCTGATTCTGTGTGCACATCTGCAGATGCTCATCTCTCCCTAGCCAGCCCCCAGATGTGGAGGGATCATCTTATTCCATCTACTGGCCTTTATAATGGAAACTTCCAGTAACTGTTTAGTTACTGCCTTTGATCATTCAGCAGCCCAAAGGCAGGTGGCGGTTTCACAGTGACTTTCCACTGAAACTCACAGCTTTTGACGGATCATTTGAGAGAGGGAGACCTTAATGGTGTACTGACAAATCACAATTCTTTTTGTTAGACCCGACCACCAAGGAGACACGGTTAGGAAGAAGATGACACGCCTGATGATCATGTTTGCCTTCAGAGCTGTGAGGAAGGAAGGCATATTGGAGAGAGAAATGTTATGTTTTTCTTTCTCTTCATTAAGGATGACCACTTGTGAATTGCCAAAGAAGAGAGTGTGCATCATCAAATAAAAAAGATGGCACCTATTTGCATATGCTAAATCATTTCTTTTTATTTATTTATCAATCTCCACTCCCCCAAAAAAGGCTCAAGGCAGCTTACATCATTCTCCTCCTCCATTTTATCCCCACAAAAACAACCCTGTGAGGTAGGTTGGGATGAGAGTCTGTGACTGGCCCAAAGTCACCCAGTTGGCTCCATGACCGCATGGGGACTAGAACCCAGATCTAGTCCCATGCTCTTAACCACCACACCACACTGGATCCTCATATTTTAATTCTAATATTCTAATTTTAATTTCTAATTCTTATATTTTAAATAGAATTACAGTATACCTCACTGTAGTGGTGAAGACCACCTGGGTGTCTTCTCAGTGCACTGTCCAGGTTCTTTTGATGGACAGTTTCCAGACCAGGGCCTTCTGATGGACTCTGGGCAGCATTTGGAATAGGGACTGCCTTCAAAATAGAGGGCAGCTCATAGTCCTGCAGATAGAGGACTGTCCTTTGTAAAAGAGGATGCATCCATAGTTCATTTACACACGATTCTTCTGTCCTTTCTTACAGAAAAATTGTTGGCAATCTTACAAGTCTGGTACAAGAAGAAACATTAAACCAGAGATGCACAAGCGATGGGCATAGCTAGCCCTCCCATTTTGAGGGCTCCCAAAGTGAAATCTTTGCGAAAACCGTTGCCTCCAAAACCTCCAGCAGAAATCTGGTGCAAACTGCAGCACTAAATAATGAGCAGATCAAGGGTTCAGTGCATTGCAGTGTCCATGCTGCTAGAGGTGGAAAGAAAGTGATGATGGTTTTAATAAAAATTATGTCTTGGCTGCCTTTCAGGCAGAAGCCTTCCTAAGGTGGCTTACAAGAGCACATAAAACCAGTACAGTATTACAAGTGATAAAACCACAGTAAGATTTTACAGAGCACAAGAAAACTATGCCTCCTCTCCCCCAGTAGCTCAAAGCATCCCTACACAAAGTGTGTGAGATACACCTCCCACATGCACCAACATTTGCGGGTACCTTTGTGCACAATTAAAATTTGAAACTGCAGCCAAAGTCAACACATTTAAAGACGTGACCCAGGAAGAGGTCCTGCATCACTTTGTTTGGCTTGGAACCCCTGTGCGTTGCAAAAGCATGAGCTAGGATGCTTGGTCAGTAGATGCAAAGAGCATTTGATGGGAAACCAAAAGTGAAGGACTTTTCTTGGTGGCTGCTTCCAGCCTCAGAATTCCTTTCCAAGCTGAACTCACCTGAGGGCCAAAAGAGCCTGCAGTGCTTACAGGTAAACTATGGATATGGCAGGGCAGCTAACAGCATTTTAATTACCTGTTTAGTCCTGGTCTGTTTACTCTGGTCCTTTCTCCTGTGTCAGATTTTAGACTGTAAGTTCCTCATAGATGGGAACCCTACCTACCTGAATTTGTACAGCATCCTTCCCCAGCCTTCCAGTCTCTAGCTGTGCTGGACTACAACTCCTGTTATCCATGCTGACTGGGGATGTTAGGAGATGTAGTTCCATTATCTTTGAAGGGACAAAGTTTGGGAAAGGCTGCCTTGATACATGTACACTGATGGTTCCATGTCAGTAAATTAATAATCGAGGTGCAGGAATGGCTGATTTTCCAAGAAATTACTGGAAAAGAATTATTGTCCGGTAAATTTCCTATTCTCTAGCCTGCACATATGTGTGTGTTTACTTGATGTGCATGTATTTTGGTTTAGGTCGGTGATGGCATTCACCTCGTATCTTCTGTATTAGGTTCTAGATACCTCGGATGTCCCTGGTGGAGTGGTGAACATCATCTCTGGCGAGCGGGATTATTTGAGTCGAGGCTTAGCCGAGCACCAAGAGGTACAAGCCATGTGGTACTTCGGCTCCAAGGAGGTGAGCATCCCTTTGCCGGTGGAGCAGAGTCCTGCAGTGGCACCGGGTTGGTGGGGAGAGAAATGGATTCAGGGCTGAGCTTCCTGAGCATTTCCACTTTTGTTTTTTAAAAAGAAAATGCCCAGCTTCTAATGTCTGCAGCAATCTCGCTCTCCCTGTTAGGCAGTAAGGCTGCACAGCCTCTGCACTTGAAAAAGCAATACGTCCATATTGAGTACTCAGATGAATTATGCCCCACGAAAGGGTGAATTCTTCAGCATTTCAGTTATGTAAACTGAGCATAATTTGCACAGCTGCTTTAAAGTTGTATAATAAATTCTGCCTTGTGTTTTGCATAATTTCTTCTGTTTGCTTCCAATCCATGCCTCTAGTGGTGTGAATGATGGGGCAAGCTCCCCCACAATCTTTCCATGACTCCCCCCCCCCCCAGAAAATACAAGAATGAGTGCAAATCCTACTCTTTCTTATCCTCCCTTCAACTCCGATTTTTATAAAGCAATGTAAGCAAGCTTCACTTAATGCTGACTAAGTGTCTTCAGCACATATCTGTATCTCCGGACCACTGATGTGTCAAATCCACAATTTGGTGTTTTAACAACGGACACATAGACAGTACTTCTCAACTTGTTTTTCTGAGGTTATTTTTAACACAAAGTGTTACCTAGATATAGCTGGAAACTCCAGAACAGGACACAAGCTTCCCACCTTGGCAATCCTTGAAGAGGAGCTGTTTCACTATCTTTGGTCCAAAATCCTGAGCATATTAGCTCTTCTGAAGATAGAAGTTTCTTAAAAGACTTTGGTGTTATTACAGAACCAGCATTCTTTGCCACGGCTGGCCTTATGCTAAGCAATTGCTTCTCTTATTTCTCGGTGTTCCTCCCTATTACAAATGAGAGTATTAATTACCTTTTCTCCTCATTCTTTCTTCAATAGTTGAAACATGAGAGGGAATATTTGGCAGGCCTTTAAAAGCAGCTTAAAGGGGAGGTAGTAAAAATGTATTATTGCAACTGCAGTTCATAACATAATACAAGCAAAGCATACTTATACTTACATAAGAATGAGAAAAATAAAATACTAAAATATGAATCAAATGATTAGAGACTTTGTGTCCAACTATAGTTGCATCTACCGTGAAAACAGTCCTTATATTAAAATAAATCATAACCTACAGTTTAGCAAAGTGCCTAATGAAATAGTAAAGACATTTCTGTGGTTTTAAAGGTCAAGAGTAAAAATTGGCCACTGAGTCACTACCATGCAGGAGTCCATCTGCTCTGGCCTGACCCTAGTGCTTTATCGCTCAGTGGCAGTGCAGGATATACTGTGCCATGTCTTCTGCTGGATTAGAGCTGGGGCCAAACCAACATCAAAACAAACCCATATTCCATCGGCTTCACGTGAAAGGGGAATGAATTTCAAAATGTGTTCCATCTCTTTTTTGGTTTTATCATGGAATCCTCAGGTCACGGCCGAGCTTGTTTGTCAGCTCAAGGAGTGTGGAACCACCCTGGTTGGGAGCTGGCAATGGCTTTATTTAGATTTGGTCAACAATGAAGGGAGGCTAGAAAAAGCACTTTCAGCTACCAGGTTGTGGCCTGGGAAATAGGGATGGCTTCCAAGAATACAGAAGTAGCCCTTTTCTGTGCCTGAAGATATGAAGTCGCAAGAGCTCAGTTGCTTGTTCTTCTTAGGGCAGCCTTCCCCATATGCTGGACTACAGTTCCCATCATCCAGGCAGCCAGGTGAGGAAACCAGTGATGGCCGAGACACCTTGCCTGTCACCACCAGGTGTACCTGCTGGACCCCCCTCTTAAAAATCTGGCTGATTCAGGGAGCTTCCATTTCGTAGTCTTGCTCTGCAGCATTGTAGGAAATTAAGATAGTGGCTGTCGGCTACACTGCCCCCAAAGCATTCTGGGAAATTTAAATGGCAGCACTTGGAGCCAGTTTGTTCATCACTGGCACCACTACCAGGTAAACCCAAGGATATTTTTCACAAGAGGATGTTTTGCCATGAGTCTCATTGGAACGAGAGCTGGCCCAGGATACAGATACTTCCATGCATTGCACAACCACTGAGCGGGTGCTGAGGGCGGTCCAGAGCAAGGCTCTTTGGCTTTTCAGAGTAATCCCCAATCTTGCAAATGGGATTTGGTTCTCATCTGTAATACTCCTCTCCTCTTTTCCTCCCATTTCACACAGCCAACATAGGTTACTTTATAGAAGCATCTTAACAAGCAGTGGAATAAAACAAAGCAGCAGGTTAGATTATGACCTACTTAGATTGTGGGCAAGATCCTCACCCATGAAAGACCAGTGTCCAAGGGCATACTGGTATTACGCTGTGATGCTGAGGCATGTCAGGATAGCTGAGCCGAACATAGGCATCACAGCAGTTCCCAGAATCCTCTGCAGAGGGCAAGAAGTTCCAAGGTAGAGGTTCTTTGGTTCTTTTTGTTGGGGTGGAGGGTGGGGCATTCTCCTTGAAGGCAGAAGGCGACTTCCGTGAAGGCACCCAATAAATCTAAAGAGCTGCTGTTTCTGTGTTTCTGTTCTGACATCCAGGGTTCTGCACTTGTGGAATGGGCCTCTGCCGGGAACCTAAAAAGGACCTGGGTGAACTATGGAGCGGAGCAGCGATGCTGGACTAACCCAGAAGAGGGGGCTGGAGAAGAGTTTCTCAGTCAGGCCACCCAGTGCAAAAGTGTCTGGATGCCCATGGGCGATATATTCGCCAACTGAGCCTCCGGGTGGCTGAGGTGAACTGCAAGGCCATCGATGCTGTTGGTGGGGGAGCGGGGCGCACAGGGCTTGAGAATAAAGACCCTTTGGCAGATTTTTCAAAAACTCAGCAGTGCTGATTTCTGTTTGTTGCTTCAGCTGGAGGGGATGGAGATTCCTCTTCCCAACCTTGGATACTCATCAGCGGATGCCGTCTTTTCTCATCTGCTTCACAGTGCTCCACTCCTTTTGAGAGAATGCATCCCTCTCCACTCATGAATCTGTATTCCCGGCACAGGAAGCAGCGGAAGTGCACCGACAAAGGAGGCTGGGTTTAAAATCATCAGAGGAGATGTCTCCAGGGCTGGAGGCTGACCGCCATTTGTCTGTCCCTCACCCAAGAAACCTGGGTGTGCCTTTTAGCTGAAATTGCCACTCTTCCATCATCCCCAGGCTGTTATTGCTTTAAACTGCGGGGAGTGGGGAGGAATTCCAGCTTCCCAAGACAGGCAAGAGGAAGGAACAGCAGCTTGGCATTGGGAATGCCTGCACCACACCCAGAAAGTCCATGACTTCCCCGCACCTCTGCCTGCCATTCTGGAAACTACCTAGTCTAGGTAGTCCACTCTTGCTGAAGCCTAGCATGGCCAGTAGTAAGAGATTATGGGGGGATTGTAGCCCAAAATATCTGGAAGGCACCAGATCGGAGGCCAAAGTTGGAATAGAGACTATCAGCCTAGATGGACTAATGGTATAAGGTGGGTTCTTGCATTCCTAAAGGCATGAGCAGGGCCTGTAGCTCATGGAGAGTGTGCCGACTTGGTATGCAAATACTTCCAGGTGCAATCTCTGATCTCACCAGGTAGGGCTGGGAAAGACTCTTCTTGGAAGCCCTGCAGGGCTGCTTCCGATCTGTGCAGATACTTCTGAGTTAGGAGGGGCCAGTGGCCTGGCACACACAACCTGTCCTGCTGAATTTTCCAAAAGCTTCCAGATCAAATCCAACTTTCCAACTGCAACACTGAACAGCTGGAGTGGCTTATCCAGTAAGCAGCCCCTCCTGTTTTGTTTCCAGCATTTAGTATTGGGTGGTATATTGCCTCTACCAATGTCACATGCATCTTGCTGTGGCTGTAGGTGATGGGTGTTAAATGAAGAACCTACCTTCTCTTTTCAGCCCTGTTCTGGCAGTCACTATCTGTGGGTAACTCAGTGGCACTGACTTCTGGGTAGACATGCATAAGATTGCAGAGTGCCGCATTTTGAAACACATTATAGAATGGCGATTCTGCTTCCGTTTTGTTTTTGCGTCTTTCTGATTCATGGGCCTGTTCTACTCGCCTGCATATCTCTGTGTCCATGAACCACCATTGGAAAGCCACAGCTTCTAAACAGTTTCCGTCTTTCCACTTCTCGCGCACCGCAGGGCCGATGAGATGGAGGCACTGAAAGGTTGCGGTATTTAAACAACTTTTGATAAAAGTCAGAATGTAGGAGGGGCACAACGGTGATTTCAACTCTGGAATTCTTTGTGACTCAGAAGAGGAAAGTCGCCTACCCTCGCTAGCAACAGGCCCATGATGGACCTCAGAAGCTGCTTGCAAGCAGCCGCTGTTGAATGTGGCATGGTGCAGTGGTTAGAGCACCCTTTTGCAACTCGGTGGCCACCAGACCTCCTCATCCACAAGCTGGGCAGGACTAGGAAACCTGGGCTTAGAGCAGGGCTAGGAGATTGGTGGTCCTCCAGTACTTTTTGGACCGCAACTCCCCTCAGCCCTAGCCAGCATAGCCAATGGTGAAGGATGATGGGATTTGCAGTCCAACAACTGCAGGATGGGAGGATACATGTTCTTCATCCATGGTTTAGAGCAAGGGAGCAGAACTCCAACCTGAGGGGTTGAATTCCATCCAGAGAGCCTCCTGCAGCTCTTGCCTTCCAAGGATGGATGAGGCCAAAATACCAAAAACTAACAGCAGGTTGTAATGTAATACTCCCATGCCAGTATCTGTGCCATAAGAAGGGCATTTTGACCTTTCCAAATGGGAAGCAACTGCACAAGAGCCAGAAAAATCACCAATCAGTAAGGGGAATGAGCGAGGCTACCTCCTCAATCCTGGGAGATTGAATTTGGCTCCCAAGAGGTCCATAGCCCTGGGTAAGAGCCAGGAGAGCTGGGTTTATATTTCCCCTTGACTGTGATCCTCTCTGGAACATCTTGGGCCAGCCACACAGTTTCTCAGTCTAACTCAGTTGACAAGGCTTTGAAAATAAAAGGGTTGGGGTGGGGGGAGGCATATGGATGACTGGACGCTCTACACATGTTGCCTTAAGCTCCTTTGGGGAAGGGTGGGGTTAAAGCATCAAGACTGCACACCAGTGCATCCAGCACAGCTGTCGAAAAGAATGAGAAATCTCGGTTGCTCAGAGTTAGAAGTCTCCCATCTGGAACTGAGAGTGGATCGCACACGTCCCCATTGCCTGAATTCTACCCATGCTCCATTTCCAGCACTGGAAGTAAGAAGCATTGCCGTGCCCAGAGGCTGAAGCCAGAGGCATGCAAGAGCTAAGCCAGGCTCTCGCGGATGTTCTCCAACATGTTGCTATCTACTGGGACTGGCTCCAAGCTCGTTGGTTGCCTCCAGCATCTCAACACCGCATGGAAAGGACGTGGGCAGTCCAAAATCCAGAAATCCCCCAACCACCCCCTGCATTCTCTTTTGATTCACTTGGAGATAATGAGCCTATGGTCCGCACTCAGAAGAGGGGGGTTGCATTCACCTCAGCCATGTTGGGGAGCGGGGGGAGAGAGGAAGAGGATGCTGCTCACCTTCCGGGGAAGTTCCTGAGCAACCTGGAAGTCCTACATTTTTACCACCCACAAACAAGTTGCTTCTACACGTTGTGTGGAGGCAGGAAAGGATTTTACACCTTCATTGATGTAAGCAAGATGCACGTAGATTATGAGATAACATCTACAGAACTCATTTGGTGAATTAGCTCAAAAGCATTGTAGGATTGCCAACTGACTCACCAAAATAAGCAACTCAACTTGAGTGATGCTTGTTCCTTCCACAGAAATCTGGAAGTGGAGCATTTTGTGATGTGCAGGTAAAGCACTCGCTGCCCATTCAAGTCTGGCCCTTGCTGTGACTTCACTGGTCAGCCTCAGGCACGCCATTTTCCATCTACTTCAGCCTCCTTCCTCTGCAACTGGAAATTTTGGGGATAAAAAGACTGATCTATTTAAAATGCAGATTATAACTCCTTATTTATGTAGTTATGAGACTCCCATCCTGCTTCGTTTAGTGAAAACTCAACATGGTTCATATGACAAAGCATATGTAATACAAAAACCAAAATTCTTATTCTTTTGGTTAATTATTAAAGTTTTATTAATAATCATGATTCTGCCCCACCTTTTCCTGCAACGCATCTTACATAATTCTCCTTCTCCTCTCCATTTTGCCTACAAAATAACCCTCTGTAGTAGGATAAGCAGAGAATCGGGGACTGTGCCAAAGGCCTTAAAGGCCAAGGAGAGATACAGTCCAGATCTTCACGTCCTGGCTCAAAACTCCCTGCCCTGCCACAGCAGCTCTCAGAGAAAAGACCGATAAAACAAGACAGGGTTATAGTCCCTTACGGACCTGTATAAGCAAAAACGTTTTCAGGTGTTCAAAACTTGCCACAGATGGTGGCATGTTCCAGAGGGTGGGTGCCATTCCTTGAAAAAACTCACTTCTATCTTCCTGGCAGCGAAATTGTATTGGTCACTGAATGACCAGTAAGTCCTGCTTGGAAGATCTCACTGGTCAACTGGATATGTGTATAGGAAGGCAGTCCGCTAGCTTTCCTGTTCCCAACTTATTTAGGGCTTCGTATGTCAACTTGAACATGGCTCGGTAGCCAAGAGGCAGCCAGTGCACTTCCTTTAACACGGGAGTAACACGGGCACACCTACCTGCTACCGTGAACATCCTGTTCTGCAGCAGCTGCAGCTTCTGAATCAGGCGGAAGCCCCAGCCCCAAATGGGAACACACTGCAGGAGTCGAAATAGGTTCCTAGCACTGCATGGGTCACTCTGTCTAGGGTATCCCAAACTGGGAGCAGCAGCCACACTTGACACCTCAATCAATTATCATAAATCTAAATGTTGAGGAGGAGGAGGAGAGGTGCTCCATGCAACCATGGGGGTGCTCCATGCTGAGGAAACTTGGGATTGAATTTCAGCCTCAGTGGCCGATGGGACACATGTTAACAGTGGGAGGCCGAAGTGGGGAGGATGGAAACCATGAAAAGGGAGTTGTTAGGAGGCGTCAAGTCATGTCCAACTTAGGGTGCCCTTATGAATGAAAGCACTCCAAGGTGGCCTATCCACGGGAGCCTGGCTTAGCTCGTGTAAATTCAGAACTGTGGCTTCCATTATGGAGTTAATCCCTCTCATATTTGGTCTTCCTTTTCTTCTGCAATTTTGTCTTCTCACGATGTGCCCAAAGTAGGACAGCCTCAGTTTTGACATTTTTCCTTCTAGGGAAAATTCTGGTTTGATTTACTGTGGAATCCACTTGTTTGTCTTTCCACTGGCCCACAAAGCTCTCCCTCAGCTCCATATTTTGAACACACAGATTTGCTTCCTGTCGGCTTTCACTCCTTTACATAGAGATTGTGAGTAAAAGAGGGTGGATGATCTTGGCTTTGGTCTCCAGCGAACCATCCTTACACTTCATGATCTTGTCTACTCCTTCACTGCTGCCCTTCCAAGTCTTTTTCAAATTTCTTGGCTACATCTCCATTTAAATTAATAATTAAGCCAAGTTATATAACATCTTTCCCAATTTCAATTTCTTCATTGTTAACAGTAAAGCTGCATAATTCTTCTCATCATTTCTGTTTTCTTAATTTTCAGCTGCAGTCCTGTTTTTGTGCTGTTTCATTTGTTCACTATTTTTTTCATTTTCATAAAGAGTTGCTTCAATTCATTGCTGCTTTTTGGCAGTAGTATGGTATTAGCTGCATATCTTATCTTAGCGATACATTTTCCACCAATTTTCACTCCTTCTTCTTGTTCCAATCCAGCTTTTCTTATGATATGTTCTGCATACAGATGGAACAAATAGAGAGATTGAAC